CAGACGCTCCATCAGCATCAGCCCCATGGGTATGTGCCGCAGGCTGTTTTTTAGGCGCCTCAAAAATCGATGCCATGAGAGCAGTGTTTCTGCTGGAGGACCCATTCACGGTGGTCATGCCGGTTGGGAATGTCGCAGACGCTTTATAAGCATCCTCCTCATGGGTACGTGCCGTAGGCTGTAGCAATGTGGATATTTTTAAGCGGTAACACTGTGAATATACCTGCAAGACGTTCACTTTGACTGTTCCTACCGTACCATTGTGTCCTCCCGTTAAAATCCTCTCTGTCTTGCCTTCATCTCCTGGCAATTCTGCCTGTTCAGAATGACCTCGGTGGTACGGCTGATTTGGGCGCAAGCATGGGTGGTGAGAGCACGCTTCTTCGAATCGACTTTATCCGGGAGCTGGAGGAGCTTTTAGAAATTGTTGAAGCTGATGCTACAGCTGCTGCTGAGGTTATCACCGAAACTTTCAACTTCCCCCTTGACGGTCCAACAGAATTAGAAGTTAACGGCAACACAGTTATTGAGGAAGATGGGGGTTCATGGGGCAACCTCGATGCCGACAGAGTGGCATTGAAACTACGCCTAGAGGAGCGATTTCGTATTATCAGCCGTGTTAGAGACCTTCAGAGGATTGCAGCTACTTTAAATCTATAATCTCGCACTTTTCTGTTGTACTTTTATACTAAGCGAGTCAGCTGCCCTTCGAGTTTCAGAACAGTGTCTCGACGAAGCCTAGTCAGGCATTGCTCCCCCGACCGCTACGTTGGCGCCAAACTGCCAGTTAGTGCTGCGCACCGCTGGGCTGGAACGGCAAAACCGGTGAGCTTTGATAGGCGCAGCCCCAGCTCAACAGAAGCGAGGTTACCACAAACCCTATAGGCATTTCGGCGAATCCTAATCAACCACTCGAGAGCGGCGGTACCGTCGTCAAACTTTTCGTGACAGCTCATTTCGCGAACACGCTTCCAGGAGAAAGTCAGCTTCTGTATTCTTTTCGGTCAAGCATTCGTTGGGCGACGATGAGGCAAGGGGTAAAGACAGGTTAGCATTGTGGTCTGTCTGTTCATCACACAGGCTAAGGGGTAGGGTGGTGCTGCCGATCTTTGGTCGGGCATTTGTTGTTCCATTTGCCTCGCAGGAGCTTCCTGCAGGCGATTGCCAGACATCAGGCCTGTCGTTTCGTTTTGCCCCCCCCGGACAGATCAGGGGGCCCGGCATGTATGACCCTGTATTTAGCAGGGTTGGGGCGAATCTCGGCACTTAAGGCTTCAGGGCTGGGAAATATTCCTCCCTTGAATCAGGTTTGGCGCGAAAAAATCGGGAGCCTCATTTCAATACCAAGCTTACAACTACGTTTGAGATGAACCACAAGCAAGCAAACACGACATAAAGATAAACAAGATGGGGAAATACACTTTGCAGAACCGATGATCGTCTGCACTTCTACTACACCTGTTCCGCGATAATTTCACACCCCCTATCTTCAACCCCTTTGTCCTTTTCCGGGGCAATCTGACCAGGGGCGGCAGAAAAGTGACCAAGGGGGTGCACGCGCGGCTGAGTCAGCAAGGGGTCATTTCATGTTTGACCTGGGCGCGAAATCGCTTTTCCAGGCACAATCCAGAAATTCGCATCCGCAATCCTCCGATTGCGGATGTTTCAAATTTCTCACGTGTTCAATTCGCATTGGCGAAAATCACAGCGCCAAAAACGCGACCACACAAAAAAATGCACGCATTCTTCCTTGAATCAAGTACACATGAACCTGACGTGTACAAATTAGAATGTCCAACCCAGCTTCACCATCTCTCGAAACCCAGTCTCAAAATTCAGAACAAACTCATTCGACACCAGAGACTGCCACATTTCTCGCCAGCGTTTTTTCCACCTCCTAACAGCCTTCCCAGCATAACAGAATGCCTAAGCCTAAAAAAAATGCAGCTCTAACTCGTGTCGAGAAGGCTGCATTATGCGAGTATCGTGTTAGGAACCCGAACTTGTCGCACAAAGAGCTTGCGTTATGGTGCTTCACGAACTTCAAAAAACACCCGTGTCGTAGCACTGTATGTAAGATACTAAAAGCCTCAACCAAATGGACAGCCCCCTCTTTACTCCCCACAGACCGTAAACGCCTCCGTGAGGGAAAGTTTCCCGCCCTTGAGGCCAGGTTGCATGCGTGGGCTGTTAGGCACACTGCAGCGAATTTACCGATCACCTTCCATGTTCTTCTTCAAAAGTCGGAGGCATTTGCCAAAGCTATGCGTCTTCCTAGCGATTTCACAGTCTCTCCCGGGTGGTTATGCCGCGCGCTTGCACGAATGGGGATGTCGTCGTATCAGAGGAAGGGTGAGGCGAAGGATGCTAATGCTGAATCCATTGCCCTCGCTAGGGAGACCATACCGAAAATCCTCAAAGATTTTGGGTACGAGGCCGCGGATGTGTACAACATGGATGAGACCGGATTTATCTCCGGTCAACAACCGCGTCGCACGTACGCGAACGAATCCGTGGCGGGAGGGAAGTTAGACAAAGAACGGTTTACCCTTGCATTGTGTTGCAACGCCGATGGCACCGATTTGATGAAACCAATCGTCATTGGAAAGGCATTGCGGCCGACTTCATTCCGGAACGATTTCAACGTGGACGACTACACTTGGTACCGTGCAAATAGGCGTGCATGGATGACCTCAGAGGTAAGCAATGAATACCCCCGCCACTTCCCACTTGTCGTGTATGCAAACATTATTTCCAACTTACTCACAACTCTCTTTGGCTTTCTTGTGTTGCGCATAGATCTTCACCCAATGGGTGGACGCGGTGGACGGCGACATGGGATTCAAGGACCGGAAAATCGCAATATTGGTGGACAATGCAAGCGCACACAACATCAATAACATCGAGGGAAAGCGCGAGTTTTGGAGGGACGGGATCAAGGTTGTGGAGCTTCCGAACGTGAGGGTAATTTATCTACCCCCAAACTGCACTTCCCACGTACAACCCTTGGATCAAGGTGTCATCGCAACATTGAAGTTGCGGTACCGGAAAATTTTGGTCACGTGGTTGCTTGATCAATTTCAGCGCACGCGTGATCAAGAGGCACGGAAAACTGTCCGGCCCGACTTGCGGACTGCCATTACATGGATATGTGGTGTATGGAGTACTATGGGTCGAGAGATCATAAGGAGGTGTTGGCGTCGGTCCGGTGTGGTGCCGTACAATTGGTTGGAGGAGTGGGGGTTGGAACGGTTATTTCAAGGACCTTCTAAGGATCCTGAGACGGCGGACATCACAGCTCTAGGTGTGTTAATGAAAAAACTGAAGATTGACGATCCTTTAATGACCGCTCGGGCGTTCGTTGGTTGTGACGACCACGTCGCCACTTCTACACGCGTTGCAAACGACACGGAGTGGGTTGGTAGGAGTTGGTGGACTGCCCAACCCGGAAACCGCGGCGTCCCATTCGATCTGAATGACGCGCCCCCCTCTGAGGCAGGCATGGATGCTGCAGATGCAGCAGCGGCAACGACGGCCTTGCATGAGTTCGCATCGGATTCCTCTATGGCGAGGTATGTTCGTCCCGCGGTTGATCGCGCCGCTGGTACCTACAGTTTTAGGGACATGCTTTCAGAAGACAACATGGCGTTCGCGTATGCTGGGCTAAACACATAGTGCTCCTTGTACCATTGCCTTTTAACGTGTGCAAGGAAGGAGCATTGTATCATGTTCCGAATTTCTGTTTTTGTTTGTAGGCCTTCATTTACGTTCAGGTGTACTTGCATTTTTCCAGTTATAGAATTTGTTTCTCTTGAGTTTTGCATTTTCGGAGGTGTGTCCAACACACAAGGAATGTTCAACAAAGTCAAAGCTGCTGAGTCAACTTTCGGATTTCACTTTCCACGCGCGCTGACTCAGCGCGCGTGAAATTAGACGGAACAGTTTTCTTACCCCTAACTTCACACCCCCCAGAACAGACAAAGCCGCGTGCGCGATTTTCAGAGTGTGAAAATAACGCGGAACAGGTGTACCCGACCTTCAGGGTACTGCACACTTCTTCCCAACCTTAACCGTCCCACTCCACAGAGAGCGAGCTGTGATTGGTTTAAGCACAAGTTCTTGGTTGAGTTGAATTTGTGGCCCAGCCAAGCAACTCGAAATTTGCCTTGTTGGATGCAATCAGGTTAAAACGAAGGGGAGAGGAGAGGGAGGAGTGTTGGAGAGGGGAGGGGGGGGGGGGGGGGGGGGATGGGGAGGGGAAGGGGGGTCTCGGAAGATTTTTTCCAGGGGTCGCCTAAAATACCCTAACACACCGGGCCTAAGCCCAAAATCAGCTTTGTAAAGAATCAGGGCCAGAATATTTCCAACCCATCAATTTCAGTTTTCAAGGGAAGCCCAGCCCTGGAATTCAAGGTCCAGCAGGGCAAACGCACTGCAAGCGACAGCCTTGCCAGACATACATTTCTGGACGGACTGGTGCTGCTGCTCCTTCAGGTGTTTCCTGTCGTGCACGAAACCCACAGTTTTCTTTCTTCTCGTCGTCCCCTGTGTCTACGCGCAAGTTAGTCGTTCCTGTGATATACCTGATGCGCGTTAGAGTCCCCCAAAGGTCCCTTGTCCTCTGGGCTTATAACCGATCTCCGCTTTTCGCGTAGTTCGTCAACATCGCCTGGGCCGTCGGGTGCTTTTAAAAGGCACAGGCTGTAACATGTTTGTTTTTTCCATGTACAGTGTTGGGCGGCGTCCTTTGTTGCGAGCTAATGCACTGGGTTACCACTTTTATCGAGACCTTGCTATCACATGCAATTACAATTCACCTCTCCCTTCATCACAAACATCAATGAACCAATGGGATAGCCACAACTGTCCCCTTGACCCACCCACCCCCCCCCCCCCCACCCCCGCCCCTGCAATGTAATGCAATTACCGTTTACCACATGTGTGCATGAGTCGTGCACACTTGTGCAAATGCGGAAATTTGCACCCATTCAGAGTGGATTTCACAGCCTCATCCACTCTGGCGCAGCGAGATAGCCGCTCATCACGGCGGGAGCGCCAGCGTCGATAAGCTCCTGCCGGCGAGCAGACTGGGCAATCCAGTCAGGGGTCGGCACCGTCATCCATGCCGACAGAACGCGACCGCGGCGACGTGGAGTCTCTGCCTGCGGGGTGTCCTCGTGCGTCGGCGCTGGCGGCGGAGTAGCGTTAAGGTTAAGTGCCGGGCTTGCGCGCTCCATCCGCGCGATGATCAGGGGGTTGCGGATGTCAAATAGCGCGCACAGATCCCTCGGCGTGATGCACGTCGCACGCGCGTACCCAATGAGCATCTCGCAGGCGGCGTGTGCCGTGCGACGTGCTTCGCGCGTCGCTGGGTTGTTATCGTCGTACACCGCTTGCATCGCCGCAGGCGCCTCCCACATATGCGCCGTCTGCGCCGACGCCGGCTCCCGCGCCAGGGGGTCCTCGCCCGGCTCGGCGCACGTCGGCTGGTTGTCATCAATTCCGACGAACTCTGCCGCAGGCATAGCGGACGGCCCGAGGCAGAGGCGATCGATTAAGACGCCGACGTCATTCACCTCCTCGTCCAGGCCAATGTCACTGCCAGCCTGGACCTGGGGGGCAGCGCTCTGTTCCACGTGCGGGAGTTCCATCGCCCACGCCCGCGGAAGGCACTCGGTGCGCCACCAGCAGCGCTGGATAGTGCTCTGCGGGATATTCATCCACGCATCATGGAGCCACTCCAGCACAAGACGGAGGTTCGGCTTGAACCTTGCAGCGGCGGAAGTCGCGCCGTCAGCAGTCCACATGCCGGTGAAGGCGCGGAGCCAATGCTGGCGGTACCGCGCCTTCGTCATGGCGATCATCCCTGGTCGAGTGGCTGCGTGAAGCAGGTGGTGTTAGGCGGCAGGTAAACCAGGCGCACGTTATTGAGCTTCCGCGTGCGGATGCCGAAGAGGTCCTCGGTTTCTGCGCCCTCGGTTGTCAGGGTGTGACTGCTCGCGTTGTCGAGCAGCACGACGACCTGGTGGCCCTCCGCGTACATGGCGGTGTCCAGCTGCTCAAAGAAGTGCGTGAAGAGCTGCAACACAAGGGGTTTGGGGATAGATGCGGTAGGTAAGGGGCTTTGTCATGCTCACAAACATAGTGTTGATCGTGTACGATCTTAACGGGGCCTTTTGAAGTTGTGAAAACCAACTCACGGCTTTGGTCATCCACCCCTTAGCGGTGTTGCGCCAGTAGCAATACTCCTCGGGGTCAAAATCCGGCCTGAAATCATGGGGCCGCTTAGCCTTGGAGATGACGAGCGGACGGAAGGCGTGCGTCCCCTCCGCGTTAACCAAGAAGCCGACGGTGAGGCGATCCTTTGGAACTTTCCGCCCAGCCGACCTGCCCGTGCCGTACGTTTTGCGAGGAAGCACGCTGATGTACAGCGCAGTCTCGTCAAAATTGAATGTATCACGCGGGCGCACGCCGAGATGCATGAGAAGCCGAGGAAGCTTCTCCTTAGTGGTTCGCACGGCGTTCAGATCCTGGTCGGCCGCCTCGCCGACCGCGCTCATGCACCGTACTCCCTGGCGGCGCAGCGCACGGCGGACCCAGCCGATGGAGCAACGGAAAGTCGGCGGAGCGCCGTTCGCACGCGCCATCGTGGCAACATGGTCGCGAATAGTGGCGAGGGTGAGCGGGACGCCAGCGGGGCCTGCATTGGCAATCCAGCGTGCCATCGCGCGCTCCAGATCGGGGTATGCCCCGCCGCGGACGCGAATGGCGTCCACGGCGTCATCGGGAATGTGCCATCGGTCGGCGCCTTTGAGAACGCGACCAATGGTCGAACGGTCGGGTCTCACACCAAAACGCATGAAACACCAACGCGCGAGGTCCACGTGGCGCAGCAGAGGGTTTGCCACATGTTGGGCACAAATGGCCCGCTTGATATGCAGCGCGAGCTGAGACCTATGGTAGAGACGAGGCATCTGGTGACTCGGTTAAGATAAGGAAACATGAATTGCAGTGCTGGTTGTCGAGTGGATTTATGCTGGTGCAATGGTGCTTGGATTAGTCAATGTGTCTCGAGAGTGTGCGAGGTTTCGCGCTTGGTGCGAACTGCGGCAGATGCACATGCATCTGCCGCCATTTGTAGATGTTGGGGGACAGGGTAACCACAGCCACGAACAGTGACGTGTGTTGTTTGCGGACTGTGAGGCGCACAAGGGGCATGTACCGAGCATTGGCAATGTACACGTGGCCATTTTCACACAAACACCAACTGTTAGGCGCACCTGGTTGATGCACAGGTGGCATGACGTAACATCAGTTTTGGGTGGCGACGTTTTACGAATTTTGACCTTCCATTTCGTAGCTTCTGTTTCTGACTTAAAAACAGGGACAAGGCCAAACGACTTTTTGCTGTGTTGCTCGGTTTGGGAGTATTCACCTGGTAGATGCAAGTGGTCTCAGGTGCTTATACCATAGGTGCAACACCAGGGCAAAAAACCCACGGGTGTAAGGTTTCCGAAATGTGCAGGGCTTTTTCGTGTGCAGGGGGTGAGCATCATGTGTATTCTCGGACACAAACAACCTCAGGCTCGTGTCCTGTCACTCCTGCGGTAATATGTGTGACAAGCACAAAACTGTACTTTTTTGCGAAGCGACTTAACGATTTGTGGATCGCAAGAATTTAGTAAATACTAGCAGTCAGCGTAGATAATCTAATTTATGCATCAACACATGTCGTACAAATTCTAGCTTTCCATGTCAATGCGACGAGCATAGTTTAACTTGTAAGACGGAGCGGCATGGCCGACAGGAAGAAGGAACGTGCGGTAGTAATAACCTCATTTGACTTCTTAACTCTCCTGCTTGCAATTAGTGCGTTAAATTGCATACCTAAAGCCAGCGCGTTTCACCATGGCACCCACCGTCAGTATTCGCGTCAAAATTGGGCCTCTGGCCACGTCGGAAAGCTCGCGCTCCGCGCGAAACCGCACAGCAGCAGCAGCGACTCGGAGTTATTAACTTATGGCCACAATGGCATTACCAGGCACGATTTGTTGGAGCGATTAGCGACGCCAGCTGTGCCAAGAGGTCCCCCTTCTACTCCGAAACCAGCGCCTGTTACGCTTGCCCAGTCACAGCGTGAGTGCTGCCTTTCTCACTTTTACTCTCGCGTTTCTCTCCATTCACCTTTGGTTAGAAACGTTTACGAGACAACCTTCGGTGAAAGCTTTCTGGAATACCGTGTGTTGTTCGCAAATAGTAACGCGAAGCCCTTTCCGCGTCGCCGTCACCCGCACCGCATTATTCCCCGCAGTGAACGGGTTGATCGCGCTGAACGCGGCGTGGCGGCTGTGGCCCGGCAATGGCAAGCGGTCGACCCAGTGCCGGCAGTGGACTGGGATCAAGTGCAACCCGCAAGGCATGGTCACTGCGCTGTGAGTCATTGCGTAGTTTCGCATGCTCCTGTGCCGAGTATACGCAAATGATTTGTTCTCTCACGGCGTCACAACCCTAAATTCTGGTACTTTTTCCTTTCCAAACTTGCTTCCTCTCGCCTGCGTCGTTCTGCCTGCAGCGCATGGGATGGCAACACCGCATCGACAATCATTGAAGGACCGATACCGCCTGTCATTGCCACTTTCACTGCGCTCTCCGTTCTGTAAGCACCGCAACAACTGTTTTATGAGCCACCCAAGTCTGTGTTCTACGCTGCCTAGGGTTTCTTACAGCCCACCGTCACTCCCAAGGCTTCCTGTGCTCATGTCTCTCGTTCCCATGCTTATCCACATGTGTGTGGAGGGGGGATGTGTTGTGACATTCGTGTGTGCATGCACTGCGCGCATGCGTGTTGCGAGCGTGCGTGCATGTCTGCATGCGTGTGTGCGCACAGCGCGCGCAAGAGTGTGTGCATGTGTGCGCGCGTGTGTGCGCATATGCATACATGCATACGTGCATCTGTGTGTGCTCACTCGCTGGGTGGGTGCGTGACTTCCCGTGCATCACTCCCCCCTGTCGCGTGCTGCATGCAGGGACCTCCCGTCCAACGCCATCAATGGAACCATTCCAGTGCGCACTTTCCAGCAACTCAAGCAGCTGCAGATACTGTCAGTCACACCTGCGCTCTGTACCAGCCTGAGCCACACACCGTCAGCCTGAGCCACACACCGTCAGCCTGAGCCACACACCGTCAGCCTAAGCGACACACCGTCAGCCTGAGCCACACACCGTCAGCCTGAGCCACAACCGTCAGCCTAAGCCACACAACGTCAGCCTGAGCCACACACCTTCAGCCTGCTTTCTTGCGCATGTGACCTGCGTTACTGTTAATTCATGACGTGATATCAGACTTCCTGTAGGTAGGGCCAACGAATCACAGAAAGAGAATGCCTTGAAACGAAAAAGATAATGAATATTATGATTTGTGTTGGAGTTCCCTCCCCTCCTTCCTCTCTCCCTTCCCCCTCTAACCCCCCCCCCCCACCCTCCCCTCTCTCCTCTCCCTTCCGTCCTTAACTTCCCGTCCCCTCCCCTCCCCCTCGCCTCTCTCTGCCAGGGATCTGTCTCGGAATAACCTTGTGCCGCCCTTTCCAGCCCGCGCTTTGCAGTATATGACAGGCCTGCGAGTGCTGTGAGTGCCGTGTGTAATGCGCCTCCGTACTGATGCATGCAATGACTCCACGGGATGCACTCACAGCATGCTGCACTCACAGCCTCATGATACGGCATGGCAGGATAAATCATAGTTTCAATTCAGTGTTGAATCTCTCTCTGAGGATGTGTGCCAACGCACTCACAGCCCGTTCATGTGCTTGTTTCAGTGCCTGGCTGTGCCCTGCGGCCTCAGGAGGTGTGTATTGATCTGATAGTTGAACTTTATTGTAATGTACACCTTATGCCTGTACTGTACTGTACTACGTTATGCAGGGAAGCTACTGCCTTGGGTGGTTGTTGGCTACTGCTAGCATAGTCAGAATTACACCCACTGCATTGCACACCTGCTTCATGCCGCCTTTGTGTGACCCGAGCCTGCTCTCTGCTATCCCTCTATCGCTTCCCCCCTCGCCTCCCCTCCCCTCCCCTCTCCCCTCTTCCGACTTGCTCTACTTTCCCCCCTCTCCTCTGTGTCGTGTCAATTCAACCGCCCATTTGTTCCGTCCTTCCCCTCCAGGAATCTGCATGGCCTGGGTTTTGGGTCGACTCAAAACTCGTCCCGTTCTCTCCATCTTTCCCCTGCAGGGATCTGCATCTCATGGAACTTGACAGCCCGCTTGACATGCTTGGTTACTCCACCGCCTTTCAATACATGTCTGACTATTGCTCCTTGCTGCTGCTTTCTCCCTCTCGCTCTCTCGCTTTGGTGTACCTGTTGCCCTCCTCTCATGTAGCATTATGCTCCTCTCTTCTTCGTCATACTTCTGTTATGCACATCACATGTCTGATTATCGTTCTATGCTGCGTTGTCCCTCGCGCTCTCTTGCTTTTGTGTAGCTGTTGTGTTCCTCTCATGCGGCATCATGCCGCCTGTTTCTTCACCGTACTTATGCTATTCACATCACATCATCTATCCTCCAACTTTCCCTTCTCCCACACGTTTCCTGTCACTTCACCTCCTTCCATGTCACTACAACCACCTTCACTCACTTTTTGTCGCAAGTTCGTTTATCCCAGTTTCCCTCTCAGTCTTTTGGCGCCCTTTTTTAATTGTTTTCTCCTCGTTTCATACGGCATGCCAGTGACCTCTCATATACTGAATCCACAGGCGCCCTCCCACCTTCACTTGCTGCAGCCTCCAACCTCTCTCACCTGTGAGTGCAATGTCACTCACCCCTGAGTGCAATGTCACTCACCCCTGAGTGCAATGTCACTCACCCCTGAGTGCAATGTCACTCACCCCTGAGTGCACTGTCACATTTGTGCTATACAGCCTCCCGACCCGTTTGGATGCCAAGGTCAATCAGGCTCCTCATCGTGCCAACCTAAAATCAGGAAGCTTGTCATGTGCATGCGCCCCGCGCCCCCTGTGTGCACCTGTCCTTGACCCCCGCTCCCCCCCAAGTGCACGTGTGTCTGAGCTATTGCAGGGACCTGATGTACAACTATCCCACAGGGAGCATTGTCAGCATTCTCAGCAACCTTACCTCCCTTACCTTCCTGTGCGCCCTCTCCAACCGCACTTCATCTCCACTTTCCCCTGTTCTCTGTGTGTGTGCGCACGCGTGCATGTGTGTGTGTGTGCGTGGGTGCGTGCATGCGTGTGTGTGTGTGTGTGAGTCGGTTGGGGAAGTGGGGACTGAGGGGGGAGGACGGGGAATCCTTGTTGTTATGGGACGTATTTCTTGCACCCTCCTTGCTGTGAGCCTCTCACAACTCATGCATCACCCCATTCTCGTTCGCTGCTGCTGCCCTTCCCTCTCGTCCTTTCTGCTTTCCTCTTCTCCTACCTCCAAAGCCCCATGCTGTGTCACTTACTCTACTCCGCCTCTTCCTTCTCACCCTGCTGCTCGTCTTTCCTTCTCCCGTCCCTCTTTCCTTCTCCCGTCCCCCTTTCCTTCTCCCGTCCCTCTTTCCTTCTCCCGTCCCTCTTTCCTTCTCCCGCCCCTCTTTCCTTCGCCCCGTCCTCACCCCTCTCCCGTGCCGCAGCTCCATCATCAAGGCTGTTGACCTCATCGATAGCTTTGCCTCCTTCTCCTCGCTCTCTCGCCTCTCGCTCCTGCAACACCTGTGAGTAAGCGTTGTTGAGGCAACACAGGGGTCTTTCTTTCCCACTTTCAACCTTGCACACCCCCTGCTGATGAATCCTTACTTTGGAGATGTCTCAGAAGTAGCCTTTCCCAAATCCAACCTTGCACGCCAGCTGATGGCTCGCCAAATGCCCTGGAGATGCGATACTCTAGCACCCATGCAGCGCCGCAGCACATGCACAGTCCTCCAGTGCGTCGTATGCTGGCGTGTGTGTGTGCTCTGCCGTGCGTTCTCCACTCCACTATAGCCCTTATGTGCTATGCTCTATTCTCCGTGTTCCGTGCTCTGTGCTCTCTCTGCTTCTTGTGTTAACGATGCTACTAATATCCGAAACCATACCAATATCCTTCACGCTCTGGGCACGTAACCTGCGGATTGCTGCAGCGAGCTGGTGCGTCCCTGCACAACATGACATTTGAGTCGACAAAAAAAACATACCAATAACCTTCATACTCTGTGCATGCATGTGTAACATTGTATGCATGTGTAACACGGCATGCATGTGTAACATGCGGATTGCTGCAGGGAGTTGGTGTCGTTGCACAACATGACGGGCCGCCTCGAAGACATGACCTTCCTCACGTCCCTCCCTAAGCTGCGCCATCTGTATGTCGAACATCCTTCTTTCAACATTGTCACGAAAGCAGAAATCTTCGGTGTTTTCTGCACCATCTGTATGCTGCTCAATCCGCCGCCACATAGGCGTTTCTTGTTGCAGGTCAATCTCCAAGATTCTCAAACGCCATTGGTACATCTCCACCTCCTCGCTTCCCTCCTCCTTCACCCCCCCCCCTCTGGAGTCCATTCTGCTGGCAGCCCCCTCCTCTCCCTGTGTTATGAGCTGACTCAAAGCATACCCTCCTCTCGCCTCTGCTACCACAACCACCACGACCACCAGGCATTTCGGGGATATGAACGTGGAGGGGGAGCTTCCTCCCGAGCTCATCCTTCTTGATAAGCTCACCTACCTGTGAGGCCCCTGCTCTTTGCTCACCTTCCTCTGAAATTTATTCTTGGCAATCCTGATTACCTTCCCGTATTGCCTTCCGAATTCGTGCTGCCTTCCCGTATCCAGTGCGCCTCTGGTCAGGGTCGGGTCGACTCGACCTGTCCTGACCTAACCCATTGCTCGTCTCCAGTCTCTCCAGCTCTCAGCCTGCTGCCTTTCCACTGTGGAAAGTGATGAGGAAGCACGCACGTGCAAAAAATTACTCCTGATTCTCCCCAACCCTGACTAGAGTTTTCAGCAACCTGTGTCACATCAGTTCCAAGCGCTCCCTGCTTTCTTCGTGTGCCAACCATCTCCACGCGTGCGGTGCGTGCTGTGTGCAGGGACCTGAGCTACCTCTATTTCAACGACGTGCCTCTCTGGCTAGGGACCTTCACCAACCTCCGAACCCTGTAAGTAACCCTGCTTTTCTGTGGCATGGGGCCGCTTACTCGCCCCCATCTTCTTGGCTAGCCTGGTATATACCTACAGTAATTCACCCATATGGACTGGTCACAGCAGTCTCTTGTCACACATCGGTTACCTTTGCTCATCTGACCCTGTCCCCTTATCCTTTCTTCATGCATCTCACTCTTTGCCCCCTGGGCTCTCACCCTTGTCCTCTAGGCTCTCATCCTTGCCCCCTGTGCTCTCACCCTGCTCCCTGTGCTCTCACCCTGCTCCCTACGCTCTCACCCTGCTCCCTACGCTCTTCCCCTGCTCCCTACGCTCTCCCCCTGCTCCCTACGCTCCCCCCCTGCTCCCTACGCTCTCACCCTGCTCCCTACGCTCCCCCCCTGCTCCCTACGCTCTCCCCCTGCTCCCTACGCTCTCCCCCTGCTCCCTACGCTCTCCCCCTGCTCCCTACGCTCTCCCCCTGCTCCCTACGCTCTCCCCCTGCTCCCTACGCTCCCCCCCTGCTCCCTACGCTCTCCCCCTGCTCCCTACGCTCTCCCCCTGCTCCCTGTGCTCTCACCCTGCTCCCTGTGCTCTCACCCTGCTCCCTGTGCTCTCACCCTGCTCCCTGTGCTCTCCCCCTGCTCCCTACGCTCTCCCCCTGATCCCTACGCTCTCACCCTGCTCCCTGTGCTCTCACCCTGCTCCCTATGCTCTCCCCCTGCTCCCTGTGCTCTCACCCTGCTCCCTGTGCTCTCACCCTGCTCCCTGTGCTCTCCCCCTGCTCCCTGTGCTCCGCCCTGCTCCCTGTGCTCTCACCCTGCTCCCTATGCTCTCCCCCTGCTCCCTGTGCTCTCACCCTGCTCCCTGTGCTCTCACCCTGCTCCCTACGCTCTCCCCCTGCTCCCTGTGCTCTCACCCTGCTCCCTGTGCTCTCCCCCTGCTCCCTGTGCTCTCCCCCTGCTCCCTGTGCTCTCACCCTGCTCCCTACGCTCTCACCCTGCTCCCTGTGCTCTCACCCTGCTCCCTGTGCTCTCACCCTGCTCGCTCTCCCCCTGCTCCCTGGGCTCTCACCCTGCTCCCTGTGCTCTCACCCTGCTCCCTACGCTCTCCCCCTGCTCCCTGTGCTCTCACCCTGCTCCCTGTGCTCTCCCCCTGCTCCCTGTGCTCTCCCCCTGCTCCCTGTGCTCTCACCCTGCTCCCTACGCTCTCCCCCAGCGCCGCTACCAGTGCCAACCCGGGCTCGCGCAACATGTGCTCAGGGGCCGTGCCGCAGGAACTCTCTCGCCTCTCACGCTGGTCGCCTGGGCTCTCACCCTTCTCATCTGCTCCCTGCGCTCCCCACTACCAGTGCCATCCCACACGCGCGCTACATGCGCACGGGTGTGAGTCGGCGCAAGCTCACCCTTTGCCACTGCGTTCTCACCCTGCCCCCTGCGCCTTCACCAGTGCCATCTCGGACACGCGCAACATGCGCTCAGGGGCCGTGCCGCAGGACCTCTCTCGCCTCTCGCACCTCGTGGAGTTGTGAGTCCATCTTCTTCCTAGATGCGCCTTCACTGCCCTCCCTCCCTTCACATCTCGCCGCCCTTCTTCTTTGACACGCCAAGGTTCCGAATGATTTTTTAGTCGACTCAAAACACGCCAAGGTTCCGATTGTGGTCGTTTAGCTGTCTTGAGGACTACTGGAAATTTCTAGCTTGTTGGCCGTTTCTTACTTGCCATGCTGCTCTGCTGTTGTGGCTGGCATGGCACCATTGAGTGTTTCATTCTTGTTTCTCAGTCCGATGCCTCTCCTCTCTCGCTTGCTTATCTCGCTGTGTCTTTCACACACATTCACACGACGCGACACAACCACGTGCACCCACACATCGCAT